GTACTCACCTTTGTCAGGGAGTCTGTTACATGTACGATTGTAGTGATCGTACATGGTGCTTTCCCACAAGGACTAACGTCCCGTACTCACCTTTGTCAGGGAGTCTGTTACATGTACGATTGTAGTGGTCGTATTTGGTGCTGACTCCAAGACTGACTGCGTCCCCATGGTGAAGCACACACTGCTGGAAAAGACTGTGGTAAGAGAAGCCGGTACATCTGACAGTTGTCTTCCCTTCTAGATCCTCACAAAACTGCCTACACTGACTGACAGTACCAGAATATGTCTCTCCTGAGGTACTGTCAAACATGTTTGTGGTCTTGGTGTACTGACACGGTTCTGGAACACAAAAAGATAATCAACAGAAAAATGGGTGAATTGTTCCCCTTTTGGTTTTGATTGCACAAAACATTATTATTCATATTATAGTCTAAAATGTAGGTCATTTTCTGTACTGTGGTTGATGAATGGGTTCTTTGCCCTCACCTGGACATCTCGGAGTATGCAGGCTGACGGTGGATCACAATAAGGAATTTTAAAATTAACAAAAGCACTTCTGTTGTGGTGGATTCCACATGGTGATTATATTACTTGTAGTATTGTATTCCGGTAACTTAACCGAATAGAATATCGGAATATCGAGTATGAAGAAAGATGATGATACTCAAGGGCAGTCTGCCTAAGCCGAATATCAACTATTAGGAAAATTGATGACCGTTTTTGTAATTGAACAACGCCTATAATTGTGATGTAATTGCTTCAACAAAAATTCCATATCATCTACTACCGTACCTTTGAGACAGTTTTTGTTCAGATAAGCCAGTGTTCCTATGTACTTTGTGCCAGTGGGACAGGGTTTACAAACATCACTGGACACAGGGTAGGAGTTTTTCGGGCACTGACCACAGGGCGGCAGTCTGGTGCTTGAGTACAGACCAGTTCTACACACCTCTAAAACACAACCCAAGCTTATCAGTAAACAACCTGGAGAAAATACTATTTTACACATAATACCACATGCAGAATCAATTAACGTCAATTAATTTTCAGTTAATACCAATAGATAAATGCCATTACATACCATTAATTAGAATACATCATTTGTAGATAAGTCACAGAATGATTATTGTGAGGGACTATCGAAGCACCAACTGTTCACAATTTTAATGGCTATTGCTTTTTTGCCAGTTTTAATTGTCAACTTGCTTTGCTTTGATGGACTAAACAATTAGCTCATTAGATTACATTACAATGACATTATCACATAATATATTCCATACCTTCACAATTTGAAGAATTTGAGTTGCCTTCTCTCTGTGTCCATGTTCCTAACGGACAGCTGCTACACGTGGACATTCCCTGTCTGTCATTGTATGTACCAAGTGGACATAATTCACAGTCACCACTCACATCTTTGAAGGTCCCCGGTGGACATACCACTGGCAAAAAAAGACAAAAAGCTTATCATATCTTCAAAAAAATAATATAATGAATGAAACATATTTATAATATCAAATATTGCTATTAAATGTGCTCTTTTATGATATATTAGTAAAATAAATATTAGTTTAGGAATGACATTTCAATATGATACAGCTTTGGTTATGGTTTTAATTGGTTCATAAAGGAACACTTTAAATGTACCTACAGCATCATAAAGGAACACTAAATGTACCTACAGCATCATAAAGGAACACTATAAATGTACCTACAGCATCATAAAGGAACACCAAAATACCTACAGCATCATAAAGGAACACTATAAATGTACCTAGAGCATCATAAAGGAACACCATAAATGTACCTACAGAATCATAAAGGAACACTATAAATGTACTTACAGCATCATAAAGGAACACTAAATGTCCCTACAGCATCATAAAGGAACACCAAAATACCTATAGCATCATAAAGGAACACTATAAATGTACTTACAGCATCATAAAGGAACACTAAATGTAGCTACAGCATCATAAAGGAACACCATTAATGTACCTACAGCATCATAAAGGACCACTATAAATGTACCTACAGCATCATTAAGGAACACTATAAATGTACCTACAGCAGCATAAAGGAACACTATAAATGTACCTACAGCAGACCCGTTTGCCCAATTGGTCCCTTGTTTCGACGTTGATGTCGCACTTCTGTTCGTTGGTTAGCAGGGCCTCATACTCAGCGGTGATGTTAGCACAACCTGAGATCCCTATGATGTCCCTTATGTCTTCTATGACAGCCGTCGTTTTGGTGAATATTAAAACAGCATCATAAAGGAACACTAAATGTACCGACAGCATCATAAAGGAACACTATAAATGAACCTACAGCAGCATAAAGGAACACTATAAATGTACCTAAAGCATCATAAAGGAACACCATAAATGTGCCTACAGCATCATAAAGGAACACCAAAATACCTATAGCATCATAAAGGAACACTATAAATGAACCTACAGCAGCATAAAGGAACACTATAAATGTACCTACAGCAGACCCGTTTGCCCAATTGGTCCCTTGTTTCGACGTTGATGTCGCACTTCTGTTCGTTGGTTAGCAGGGCCTCATACTCAGCGGTGATGTTAGCACAACCTGAGATCCCTATGATGTCCCTTATGTCTTCTATGACAGCCGTCGTTTTGGTGAATATTAAAACAGCATCATAAAGGAACACTAAATGTACCTACATCATCATAAAGGAACACTATAAATGTACCTACAGCGTCATAAAGGAACACCATAAATGTACATACAGCATCATAAAGGAACACCAAAATACCTATAGCATCATAAAGGAACACTATAAATATACCTACAGCATCATAAAGGAACACTATAAATGAACCTACAGCATCATAAAGGAACACTACAAATGTACCTACAGCATCATAAAGGACCACTATAAATGTACCTACAGCATCATTAAGGAACACTATAAATGTACCTACAGCATCATAAACGAACACTAAATGTACCTACAGCATCATAAAGTAACACTATAAATGTACCTACAGCATCATTAAGGAACACTATAAATGTACCTACAGCATCATTAAGGAACACTATAAATGTACCTACAGCGTCATAAAGGAACACCATAAATGTACATACAGCATCATAAAGGAACACCAAAATACCTATAGCATCATAAAGGAACACTATAAATGAACCTACAGCATCATAAAGGAACACTATAAATGTACCTACAGCAGACCCGTTTGCCCAATTGGTCCCTTGTTTCGACGTTGTTGTCGCACTTCTGTTCGTTGGTTAGCAGGGCCTCATACTCAGCGGTGATGTTAGCACAACCTGAGATCCCTATGATGTCCCTTATGTCTTCTATGACAGCCGTCGTTTTGGTGAATATTAAAAAAGTAGCCTCTACACAATCGTGTGAGGAGTCCACACTCGGAGGATCAAACTCAAGGATGAAGGTACCGGTGAACTACAGCAAAACACAGACACTTAGGTGACTTGGTGGAAAGAGGAGTTGACATTTAAGAGTACAGGTATGAATGAATTACCGAAAAAAATGGAAACTTTGGTGACTCGGGAATGGCGGGTTAAATTGAAGGTTGTATACACTGGTAAACAACAGACACTTCGGTATATAAGGTGGAGGAAGTGTCAATAGAATGACGGAGGCATTAAATGATTACAGGATAAAATGATTACAGGAAAACGCGGAAATTTATGTAACTCACACTTCTCTAGTATCTTATCATATAAGAAGGCGGAAGTTTAAACTGAAGGGTAAAAGTATCAAAGATATTCAGGCATACATGAAATCGTGGTCACTCAGGGAGTCAGGATCATTGAATTCGACACACTGTTATAATATGATGTGCTGAATTAAGCCTTACCGAGTTGTTTATGATGTTGCTAAACTGACCGTCCGTTATATTGACGATACTGGCCGCCCCGAGGAGCCCACACACGTTGGTTACCCTGGCAGACACTGCGGAGAAGGCCTGCTGGATGCTGTTTATATATTTGCTCAGACAATCCGCGGATAATATACTTCCATTAAGAACAGGCTGATAGATCAATTGATGGATTTGTTTGAATGATGTTGGCAATGATGCTGCATAAATAATGAGTTCATACAAGGAATTAACATACATCCATGCAGGTAAATAAACAAGAAAATTCACAAACATGGAGTTTTATCAGAATTACTTAAGCATGACATCATATATTAACATATACAAACAGGATTAAACCAGTAACATCAGTCATTAATTTGATACTTACAGGAATAATCCAGTGATACAAGTCATACAATTTTACTCACAGAAATTAACCAGTGGCAACAGTCAACTATTTGTACTAACCGGAATGTGTCAGTGACAACACCCATTGATTTATAGTCGCAGGTTTGAATCGTTGACAACAGTCATTTGATTATACTCACAGGAATGATGATCCAGTGACATCACTTATTAAGAATGAACCAATGCCCCCAACATAACACATCGACTTTCACATATAGAAAAGTTATATTGTAACCGATATTAAACACAAATAAATATGTACTGGATAGATATGATCCCCTGATATCATACATGAAAGTACTCTCACTGTCCTGAAATCATACAAAAGCTGTAATACACATCATAATAACTTACACATACAAACCTGAGTAGAGGTTCGGGTTCCTTAGACTTATTTACTTACACACACAGGAGGGAACGTGAGTAGAGGTCCGGGTTCCTTAGACTTATTTACTTACACACACAGGAGGGAATGTGAGTAGAGGTCCGGGTTCGTTAGGTTTATTTACTTACACACACAGGAGGGGACGTGAGTAGAGGTCCGGGTTCCTTAGACTTATTTACTTACACACACAGGAGGGAATATGAGAAACCGTCCAGTTTCCGCCAATGCTACACTCTGTGGTGAACACTTCATAGTTTGGACCGAAGTCATCGTAGAAGTAATAGTCGTGATCACATGTTCCCTCACATCGATATCCGTCATTGTTCACAGTTGATGTGCAGTTTAACTGACCGTTTACTGGACTAGTCAGTGAGGCTGGATGGCAGCTTGCTGCATGATAAATACAGATGAAAATAAAAAAGTAAACATTTGTTTCAATGACGGTTAAAAAAAAAACAGGTAAAATAATCATACAGATTAAAAGTTCATAGTATGGCAATATGTGTATTTTTTCCCCTTTTTCATCTATTGCTAAGGTGAACAATAGCCAGATAAGGTATTACCAAGTCATGCACAGATATAGGCATCAATGCACTATATGAGAAGACCTCAGGGGCCAATCAGTTGTTCACATCAACTTAGAAGCGGATGCATGGCAGGGAACTCTCTGCTACTTCTAGACGCTGTAACATGTTGATGCACTCGGCCCTTGAATGACTGAGCACCATCATCACTGATTACGCCAACTACGCTGTCTGGGAGTCTGTTCCAGACATGGACTGCAGAGTGGATGAAAGTCCTGCCATTGGAGTACGTTCTTGAAACTGGTTCGATGAGTGCATGACATGGCATTGACGTGCTGGTCCGGGTAGCTTTTCTGATCACATATAGCTGAGAAAGGATTGCCTTCAAGTCAAGTGGATACAAGTTTGTGTGCATCTTGTAGAGCACAGATTGTGTTATAGGTACTAAAGAATATATACCAGGCTCCCAAAATATTTATAGTAAGAAAATAGCACCAAATTTGTTACGTAAAAGGGCCCCTAAAGAAACGACAAGAGAGGTGACATTGACAGTCTGTTTTAGCAATAATGATTTTTACCTTGGACCGAACGAATATTTGGTCTTAATCGAAATATGTTGCAGGTAAACTGACATGTGAATTTTCATTCTTTCCGAGATATGTTGAAGGAAAACTTTCATGTGAAGATTAACCAAAATCTAAAAACACTGCGACAGCTGAAGGGATGGCAAGAAAAGTGTCGCCAATGCAGACGGGCAGACAAACGACAAAAACATGCATTTAAAAAACACCTATGTTTCTTTGATAACCAAGGAAAGCAAACCATTCATATTAAAGCTTAATCAGCCATGTTACCTTTTATTTTTACTTGAAACCAACATGTATCCAAGTTTCCCCTCGCGTCTGTGATGTTGCCATATATGGTAAAATCTTGTTCAAGGGTTTCTGTAGATACATGCACGTGATCGGGTTCAAATTCCAGTGATACAGAGGAGGGCGACACAGAGAAGTTTGCTGAGGAGATGGAGATATTGTATGGGTGCTCCATTAGATAAACGATGAAGGAATCGGGACACCTGATCTGTGGTAGTCTCTCATCTGAAACATAGAACACAAGGCATGTCGGCTAGACATGTTGTAGAGTGCCACAGTGATCACTGTGTAATTATAACATTTTAAAGGAAATCAGTATATCAAAATATCCTAAAATTGACACGAAGTTTCAAATTAAAGACAATATTCATTGTATGCAACTTTTGTCAGTTCGATCGGAGTGACCTATTGCTTCCCTAGTCTCACTGTAAATGATTTCTAGAACGTACGAGTGAGTGTAGGTTCTATTTTATTCTGCATTCCGCTGTGTTCTCGCAGATATATGGCGCAGTGTTATACCAACCTTAACAAACCCTAACTACATTGAGTAAGTTCCTACCCATTATGGTGATGTTGATTTTGCATTCCGCTGTGTTCCCGGAAAAGTCTGTGGCAGTGTACACCACAGTTAAATTCGCCAGCACTGGATCAGTGATATTAAAGTCGGCGGGGGTAACTGTGAAGCTTGACAATGCTACGTTGTCATAAGCTACAGGTAGGCGAAATATGGGTGAGCCATACACATTCACCATTACGTAACCTACAGGACATCCCGTAATGGTAGGCATTGTAACGTCTGAAAACAATAATTAAAACTCAGTTGAAAATAGTAAAAGACCATGTAAACGGGTTTGAATAAAAATGATTTGTTTTACTATGTGATGTAATTTACAGGCGTGTATAATTTTACTAATTTTCAAGTCCAAATACGTGCATAATTTTATATGAGTTGATGAAATAAACAAATACAGCCCGGCAGTATAAATGGCTGATGAAACCAGATAATTGAAATTATCCGAAATGAATATAGTTCAAGCATAAAAACCCATGAAAATGACATAACAGAGAAACGCTGGTCAAAATGTGCATGTTTTTGATTTACCTCTACAGATAGGCACGGTGCTGTTCCATACAAAATGGGTGTTATCTGGAGCCAACACACATTGCAGCTGCGTATTGCCCACGAGCTCCAGCTCCGGATCATCACACTGGAACTTTACCGTCCCACCCAGAGAGAAGTCTGTCCCCACAAATGATCCACTTAGTGGTCTCCCCGGGTCTGGACATCTGACCGCTACACATCCAATTCACCACATATGAAATAACATAGAGATAGCAACACGATGGTTCAGATAGTTAACACCTGGAAATTACTTAAGACAAATCAAATTTAACTAATCTATTTGTCGGGATTTACCAGGTTATCACATTCTACTTTAGCCCTGCTATTGTATAAAAATTCATCTACCGAAAATATGGAAACATCTCTCATATATTGTGGAGTAATCGTGACCCCGAACCCTGATGTGTTCAAACTTGGCGTGGTTTTAAAGTGCACCGATAATTACAATGCATTTCGTTATGTCTGTCACATAAAAAACAAAGAATTCCCAGTCCCAAGAGACCGTCATAAGTGTTTGACAGACGGCCGTCAGAGATAGTGTTTAACTGCGTTTTAAATACGGTGTGTTATAAGGCGAAAGTTCGATTCATTGGGGAGGTCTTTGGCAAAAAAATATCGATTTTATTCAAATTCGATATTGGAGATACAATTTCGTGAAGTCGCCACTTCTGTTCTGAAAACAAAAATTGATTCCTGAGGCTAGATAAATCGTAAATACCATGACAAATCAAAAGAAATCATGGCAAAACAAAACATAGGCAATTTACAATTGTTCGGGAGCACAAATTCAATTGCACGGTTTTTATAACGAAATACCACAAAACACAACTCAGTGGACACATATTTAAACTTGCTATATGACTGCTGTAACTACTACCAGAACCAATGATTGATGTTAGAACCCATGCACCGCCCTATGTGTTAAAATTGTTGGGATCAAAGATTATGTAACCTAGTAACCTGCACTGTGGATTCTTTTTCAATAAAGTTTTATAATTGATTTGCTCTTTATCAACACATTGATATGTCAACAAAACATTTTTAAACAATAGTTACGTCGTCGGTTTTCTTATAACCAAAACGTTGATAAAACCACGAATTCATCGGCAAAGGAAGAAACATAGTCGGACAAAGCAACAAATGTTAGCATGACAAAAAGTAATTTCACAAGGTTTTTATGTAGATGAACGCTAAAACCTATTCAACTCACGTAAACACATAAGACTTCCATAATCCCAGTAGCCATCAGAGAGACACCGAACTATAGCATCTCCTTGACTACTGTTTCCATGGAGACGGTAAAATTGATCACAGGTGACATTAAAAGAATTGCTGAAGGTCGTTCCTGTCACAAACATCACTGTTCCATTAGGAAAATCTTCAGGATATCCACAATTGATTTCTGGAAGACATCCAAATCAAATGCTATCTCCATCAATTCGAATGATCTAATTCATGTTATGTGTTACATAGTTGAGATTACTAAACAGACAGACGCACGTCTGTTTATATAGAAATAGTGATTTTTCTAACTTTTATAATTATAAAGTTACATATCTCATTAATCATGTTCTAAATATATTGGAGTTACTATTTACCTCCACATTCGTAAGAGTCCCCGACCAGTCTGTAGGTATCTGTTGGTGTGTTATACAGACATTGCCTTGTCTTGTTGAAAAGTTCCATACCAGGAACATTACAGGTGAGAGCGACAATGTCCAGGTACATCACCTCACTAGGGACGATAGCTGTGGCTGGCACGGTGGCATTAGCCCACATGTCTGGTCCATCAGGTGGGCAAGTGGCTACTAAAATTGCATGTTAAACTGTGTAAATTCACATGCTCGTCTATCTATATTGACTAATACAACAATGTTGAAATACTTCTTTGCCCCATATATTGAATATCCATGTCCGGAGTGATACAAACTGTATGTGCATTGCTTGCAAATATATGGTTGTAAACTATGTTGTAAAGTATTTTGTGAAAAACACTATAAAGGCAAAGACTGAGGATGCTATTATGTGATCGACATAGACTCTGGCTGACAGAATCTTTGACAAGTCAGTGACAAGATATTTCAGCATACCGTGGCATTCCTTTTTGGACAAACTTTGTTGTTTGTTTTTGTTTTTCATATACGGTTGATGTTTTGAAAGAACATCAGGACTGGTAAAAAAGATATTGACAAGTACTTCAATTTCACTTTCAGACGACGTGCTCTGTATAAATAAAAAAAATCATTGACCACGTCAATCGTATAAACCGTTCTTAACTTTAAATCAATGAAAGTACAGACTCCTTCAGCCGCTTTATCTTTGCTACACCATAACAAACGGATGACTTGCTTTAAAACTGTAGAATAAGTCTGACGATAAAAGTTTTTTTAAGGAAAATCTTGTCTTCCCAAATGTATTTATGTCTTCGCTCTGAAACCAAATTGTTATGCAACTTGACGTTGCAACACCACCTCATGCAGAATGCCAATAGTCCCCTTTTCCTCCGTTACAGCCGCGGCATAATGAAAATGCGTTATGGTGTCGGTTTTATGTTTGTTTTCGTTTTAAGTCGTCACAGGATGACACGCGAATTACGTTACGTTTTTGACCTGGTGTAGTTCACGAGTCCCTTAGATTCTTAGACGACCGAATAATTTCAAGCTTGATTTTATTACTGAAAACGGTGTCACTTGGTAGGTATTCCATTCCAAAATGTTCATACTACAAACAACACCCCATTTTATCTATATTTACAAATATAAAGCAATCTACAAAGGGAGGCGTTACCTATTCTTTCCTACAGGCTGATCCATCAAATTTAATTTGTCGAAATAAACTTCAATTGTTTAAAGCTAAAAGGCTGGTATAACCAAGGTTATTTCCCAGTGATGATAAGCATATCAACTCACCGCGGCAGGAGGGAAAGGGATAATTCCAGGAGCCATTAGAGTGACACTGCATGTCGTGGTTATGACCGAGGACAAACCCAAGGTTACACCTGTACATGAGGGTGTCACCGTAGTGATATGACGTCTGTCTGTTAATAATGAAGCCATCTTTTGTAGTAGGCGGAGATGCACACGTCATATCTGTTGTCAAAGAAAACGTATTAAATATTGGTAACGTATCACAGGTGATGATGATAAATATATACAGCTCGTGTCAGAGGAATATTTATTAAATATTGGTCACATTTGTTGCTAGAGGAAAATATGTTACATTTATTTCAAACAGTTTCATACGTAAAGGTGTAATATAGATTTAAATATGTTTTCAAAAGTAATGATGTAAAATACAGGTCGCATTAATTGCATGAGGTAAGGGTTAACTTATTAATAAGACTAAAAAGAACTCACATGAAATATATAACTATGTGTATACATGCTTGTGTTTTTTGGTTTGTTTCTGTATGTTTATGCATGTATGTATGTACGGATGGATATATTTGCACATTCCTATGCATGGATTGGATATATGTGTATATGTGTGCATATCTGTGTGCATGTATGCGTGTATTCATGCATATGTGTATATGTGTTTGAGCATGCATATATGTATGTATGCATTCTCGATTTACACATGTATATATGTTCTGATCCCCTTGTAATAATGCTGTGTAGTAATGAAACAGTTTAGAGATCAAAAGTGACACATACTGAAGTATCCTTTTGGTTTGGATTATTGCATAAACTACATGTATTGATTTGTGCTACGTTTATGCATACATATAGGAATGTGTGTATGTTAATAATATGTCGTGTATGTTTGTATGTATCCTGAGTAAATGTAAATGTGTTCAGTATACATATGTGTGTGGCTGTGTGTTAGGTCTGTCGCAATATATAGGAAAACAGGTATATCGTAATACACAAGTATATTGTATTGTACAGAGATGAAATATTGCTGTATCGCAATATTTTTTTTAAAGCTGATTTTCATGTATCTCAATCTGCTTGGTAATCTAACTTTGCAAATTACTACAAATTCTAACAGATATGCCAATACGCATACAAAAGGCTTTTAATAGTGGTGGGAATTAGTGCAAATTTTGTAATCGATAGTTGGTTTAAAAAAAGCTTAAATCCATGTGATCCATATTATATATGATTAGGTTCGATAATATTCTGACAACAACTTATCATAAAATCGAGCACATCTTTCCTACGACATTATATCGGGATACGTATCGCAATATATTCATTCTGTATTGCGATGTATCGTGATACACTCTTGGTGTATTGTGACACCGCTAGTGTGTGTGTGTGTGTGTACATATGTATGTATGTATTATGTATATATTTTATATATGTATGCTATGTATATGTGTGCGTGTTTGTGTATATTGATATTACTATGTAAAATGTATATGAATGTTTGTCTGGGGAAAAAAAAGAAAAAAAAAGTAATAATGTCGCCAGAGATAAGTGTGTTGAATATTGGTCACTTCTGTTGTCAGAGGTAAGGGTTTTAAATATATGTCAAAACTGTTGTCAGAAGTAAGGGTGTGAAATATAGGTCACTTCTGTTGTCAGAGGTAAAGGTTTTAAGTATTGGTCACCTCTGTTGTCAGGGGTAAAGGATGTTAAATATATGTCAAAACTGTTGTCAGAAGTAAGGGTGTGAAATATCAGTCGAATCTCTTATCAAAGGTAAGGAAGTTACATATAGGTTACTATGTTGTCTATGGCAACACTGTTTTAGGTGACTCGAGTATACAAAACGACATATGTGATTGAAATGATGGGTTGACATCCACAAATAATGACGTACAAAAACATGAATGATGAAGATAGTAGTCTTTCAAACACCTGTGATGGTAACAGTATACATACAAACACATGGTGAACTTTCAAACAAACATGTGATTTGGATTGAAGACTTACAGATACATGCGTAATTGAGATATTGAGATAGAATACGTATACACACTTGTGTGATTGTGATTGAAGACTTACAGATACATGTGTAATTGAGATATTGAGATAGAATACAAATAAACACATGCGTGATTGAGATTGAAGACTTACAGATACATGTGTATTTGAGATATTGAGATAGAAGACATACAAACATATGTGTGATTGAGAAAGTAGACTTACAAACACATGTGTGATTAAGATGGTATACGTCCCCGACAAGGTTTCCAGATTCCCCTGTAGGTATATAGTAGCCTTGGGTACCATTTATTGTATATAAATCGTAACCAAGTCCACATACACAGTTGAAACCTCCACCAAAGTTCTCACAACCCTGACTGCACGTGCTGCTGTTGTTAGAACATTCGTCAATGTCTGAAAGGTTGTGGAAAACATGTTATAAATTTCCTAAAATAATGAAGCTTCTGAAAATGTTTGATGTTTTAATTTGATGACTTAATATTGCTTTGTTGTTTATAGTACTGGTAGCTATATTCAACAAGTCAAGCAACTCTCTATGCACCATCTTATTTTAGGGTGCTACGTTTTCGAGCAATCCTTCATGCATAAGCTTCTTTTCGGGTGTACTACTTCAATATCAAACAAGGTAAAGCAGTACGTCTTAATCATTATTACACACACACTACCATCACACTCGTGTCCCAGTGTCCTGATATCGAGATATATGCTAACCTTGACAGACATTTGTCCCAGTGTCCTGATGTCTAGGTTTATACTTACCTTGACAGTCATTTGTCCCAGTGTCCTGATATTTAGGTTTATACTTACCTTGACAGACATTTGTCCCAGTGTCCTGATATTTAGGTTTATACTTACCTTGACAGACATTTGTCACAGTGTCCTGATATCAAGGTCTGTACACCTCTTGACATACATTTGTCCCAGTGTCCTGATATCTAAATATACATTTACCTTGACAGACATTTGTCCCAGTGTCCTGATATCCAGGTTTGTACTTACTTTCACAGACATTTGTCCCAGTGTCCTGATATCTAAGTATATATTTACCTTGACAGACATTTGTCCCAGTGTCCTGATATCCAGGTTTGTACTTACCTTCACAGACATTTGTCCCAGTGTCCTGATATCTAAGTACATATTTACCTTGACAGACATTTGTCCCAGTGTCCTGATATCCAGGTTTGTACTTACCTTCACAGACATTTGTCCCAGTGTCCTGATATCCAACTTTACATTGACAAAAGAAAGACCCTATGGTGTTGACACAGTCTTGGCTGATTCCATCACAAGCCGTGTCATTAACACACTCATCCACATCTGAAAAAAACACGCATGGTATGTTAATGACTAACTGTAAATTAGTCAGCAACTCACACATGAAAATATATAGGCCGTTTTCTAGTTATTATATAAAAATGTCACATCTAATATGTATTTCCTTCCTTCACAAGACGGTGAAATTATAAAACTATAGTCTAATGCATGGTTTGTCTTTACTATTAAAAGACGGTAGAATTATATGTCTTGTTTAACATAAAGTCTACCTTTACCAGAACGATGGCATTCCAAAGGTTATGTTAAGCACAAAAGATGTATATATGTTGACAAGGCGTCAGAATTCTTATTGTCTCATTTTACTTTACAGCACGGTCATGTCCCCAAATACCGAAGGTACAACTCCTAAGGACTTGTTTTACACACATTCTATATCTATTGCACACAAGGGTAAACATCCTAAGGTTGTTTTTTTGCACATCCTCTTTGTACCTTCACACGAAGGTACCATTCCCAAGGACTGGTTTGAATGGCATGTTACTGTGGAGGAACCAGAAATAATAAACCCAGCATCACAAGTCAAAGTAGCAACGTCTTCATATCGCATGCTATGTCCTGGTGTGTCTAATCGGCCATTTCCTATTTCTGGTACCAGACAAGATACACCTTCAATGAGAAAACATTCAACGAAAACAAGTTAAGCCACAACATGCAGAGAAATATTCCTTAGCTGTATGTCGCCATGTTATTAACACATCTATATAGGAGAGCTTGTGCATATTTTAAAAATGATACAAATACGAACTAGAATAGTATTAATAACAGAGTACGGCCTAATATTATATTAATGTAATGCAAATAAAGTTGTTTTAGCGTAAGCTATACAATAACATAATCTTATCATTGACATAATACACACATTGACAGAGCAATCAAATCGACACAATCTCAACACTAACCGAATATACTGATAGTAGTTATATTTATAGATTCCTCAAATTAATCTCAACATTTATATTCATATAATCTTATCTCAGTAAGAACCCGTATACTAGAATGACCAGGGTATTGACAAATATGTAGACGATACTTGCGTGGCCTGAATCGTTACACGTACAGAGTGTTTACAATGACAGTCCTAACACGGAAAGACAATGAACATCAACAGAACGTTGAAAATCCTAAAATTTGCACAACTCTGGATTTGACATAACCATTACATAGACAGAATCATTACGCTGAATAACCCTCCCTTCAAATACACAAAAACATATAGAGTAGCTTAATATTTACGGTCACAAGACGGCGCAGCTTCATTCCATGTGCCATTTGCAAGACAGAAGATAATTGCTGTTCCTGACAGTTCGAAGCCCGTATTACATGTATAGATTACACGGCTCCCAAAGTCCAATCCAGTACCACTCTCTATGGTCGAGGAAGCATTGGTCACAGCAGGTGGTAGGGAACAGTTCAAGGCTGTTTAGAAAATAAGAATGTTAAGAGATTTAAAAAAAGTTTTCAAAACAATTAATGCTTTAAATTTACCTAGCAATGCTATGGATTTTACCTCCGTTTGAACGGGCTAGCAGATATCTTTGTCACTGAGCAGAAATTTATAATTGAACAGACAATTATCAATGAGAAAAATAATATTTTAACAGACCTGTATCGATGATTAGACAGGTGTGATTGATCATCATCGCCGACCAGAAAATTAACTGAGCAGATCATCATTTGATCACAAAAATGAAGTCTTTAAGAAGACAGACACTGCAACTAGCACTATTTAACAGACTTAAATAAGCTCTTGCAATTTACAAAAAACCCTCATTGATAAACAAAATGAAATAGGCGCTCGTTAAATAAAAGGATAACAGGAAACAAAGTAAAATAGGCAAACGTAAATTAATTTAGGGTCTAAATTAGTGAAAAATTGGGATTGTACTGGTAAGCAAACTTGGAAAATATCTAAACAACCTTAATATCTAATCTACAAAAAGACCTATTGTTGTGTAGTCTGACTTATACACTACATTAGGCGTCAAGGTACATCCATTCTGGATAGTTATAACCTGGAGAAGTCTTAACACAGACTCATGGAGCGCTTCGTCGACTTTTCTGAGTCACTCAACATAACTTGACGATATCATCATCTTTGACAGGATAATACACTGGGATCAAGGTACTAGTACTTAAAGCGAGGGATGTACTATACCATACACTCAGTCAGGACAGAGGAGGGAGTACCGCGTTAACAGGTGTCTTCAACTACCTCCATACATTATGTGTATAGGTTGTTCCTCGTTCACACCTGACGTATTTCCAAACGAGGAACACTAAAGGACTGGCTAAAACGCAAAGTGTGTGTGTTAAGGATTTTGCGTTTAACGTAATTCTTCACTATCTTGTATTAAGATATATAAACTTCACATTCGTTCCTGAAGAAAAAGAAGGCATGGGGGAATTAATATCAACAAATAATGAACAAGCTTACATTGTATGATCATTTCTCGATAACTTTGTTGCAAACTTATAGTAATGGTGGGCAATTCATTGAAGACACGTCCACCTGATTTGTTATAAAGGTTTTAACAGAACTAATAGGAACAATAATAGGAAATGTTAATGCTGTAGACATCTATGTATGTATGCACTACACTTCCTAATACATTGGTATTCTTAAATTTTTGAAAATTACAAATCGTTTAAGCTGCCATTCACTATAAAACTCACCGCGACACGATGGCACCTGTTGCCATGTTCCATCAGCCTGACAGTTCACTGTGACACGACCAATGGGGACATATCCCTCCTCACAACTGTAGGTCACAGAGGAGCCGTACTGTACTCCCTCGCCACTCAACAGGTACCCTCTTCTCACAACAGGGGGGATCCCACAATAACTGGCTGGAAGTATAAGGAAATGTGTTGTGATTCCATTGTTTTACAATAGATCTGTTTATAGAAGATTCACATGAATATCATTTATTACGGTACTTTTTGTGTTATCAAGGTTCAACAAGCCCCCTAAAAGATGCTGTAGTCACCTAAACTTTCAATCCCCTGATATGTCATGTTCAAATACCTAAATTAAAAACCGGAACTTATACATGTTAGTTGTATATATTGAACTTGTGCATTGGCTATACAAAAAAATACATAGCTTGGTTAACGTAGTCAACAATACGGCATTAAGGCTGATGTCTTCATAAAAAATAGCTTATTGGACATATTACGTGTCAATCTCTTTTGCGATTCAGCTGAGTGCTGAGAAATGACCCATACTGTAAAGTTTATTTATATACCTAGGTCATGCGGAGCTTTATTTCCCTCTACTAGCTGTTGAGAGAAATTCCGACCTCAAATAAAGATAGATGTTGCCATGCGAAACCACTAAAATCATGGTAAAATCCCCTGGTAATACATTTGAGCTATTTGTAAATAAGAAAACAAAGGCTAAGTAACTTTGATCGATAAATGAACTTTAGATGATGTGCCATTTGATAACATTCTCTGATTTTATAAATGCGCTAGAAATGTTATAAACATTGAAGCTGAAAAGTACGATAATGTTTATAACAAGTCTATCTCTTTTATAACAACATTGAATGTTAACAAAGGACATTTTATATAAAGCTTAAATAGTGTTTTTTTGTCAAAGGTCTATGATTTTACACATATATACCGGTAAAATATGTTACTCGGACGTTTTACTATGATTTTTGTACTTTCCAACAGCATTAATCATCTTCTTCTGAGGCCGGTATACCTACCCTCACATAGTTAACGAGAAATAAAGCCCCGAATTACATTTGTATATAAATGATATCATTTCGTAACATTCAGTTGGGTCGCTTAAGAGATTGACATGTTATAAATCTAGTGAGCAACTTTTATCATTACATTAGCCTTAATGCCGTATTGTGACTTCGTTAACCTGGTTATGTACCTTTTTAATAGCTCATGTACAAGTTCAATATATTTAAATTACATGTATATATTCCGATTTTTGATAGGGGTATTTGCATATGAACTTGCCAGGGGGTCGTTATTTAGGGTAACTAATACATGTTTGCTTGTTGAACCTTACACTGATTATGGTTGTTGATATTTTGGATATATTGACATCAAGTCTCATGATGCTAATTGATGTTTTATTATATTCACCTCATGACTTTACTTAAAGGGATGCATCGTTTCAAATCGGTTGAACTATTTTAAATATTTGTTTATAAAGGTATCCTAGGTTTGCCCTCTATATTACAACTGCCCATGAGAGCTTTGATAATAATTGGATATAAACGCTTTAGAGTTATCTCTCTTTGAACATACTTTTTTTCAAAAACCCGACCCCTTGATGTGTTACAGGGACAAAAAGAAGCTTGGTCATCGATCATCTAACAAAAAACAAGGAGCAAACGGAAGAAGATGGGCGCACGAACGGTCTTTATAAACAGAACATAATTCTTGTGTATCTGGCCGATTAACTTGTTCTGGTGATAAATTGATTGTGATACAGTGGTTTATAGTCGAAACACATTTTATAGGTTTAAACTTGATATTTTGATAGTGTCACATGATTCTTAGCGGGTCAGAAAAAAAGTTGTTTTGAGCACAGACTCAACACTTTGTTTCGGGAAGACGGGTCCTGTGCTCACGTAGTCTTTGGTAAAAGTAATTTTAAACCCTGATCAAACTGGCCCCTAAAAAGGTGTCAGTATGGTTATTTACCTTGGCACTGTGGTGTCTTCCTCACATTCCAGACCCCTCCATACAAACACTCCATCGCCACATAATATCTGCTAGTGTTGTCGCTCTGCCGGAATTCCTCCTCCAGAAAGTTGTAGCCAGACTTGCAAGAAACATTTATGTGTGATCCAAAATCATAGGTTGATGAGGAAGCAACAGTGTTCATGTTGAATCCGGGCTCTGGACAACCTAGTCACAATGTTACAAGGATTAACACATGAAATAATTGCAGTCATGAAATGCTGCTCATTCATTACACTTAATACTTTCAACTCATGTAATCCAAAAATAATTCAATCTTGAGATCTGAACATTCAAGCACTGTCATTGTATAGAATGCGGTAGCACAGTTTACTGTAGAAATGTATATCCCTCACTTTTAGAGAAACGGGCTTGGTTCCCTCTGCCCAATACACAGTATACAACTCTTAATTCAGAGAATAGGGCTTGGTTCCCACTAAACAGTATACACCTCTTAATTTCAGAAAATAGGGCTTGGTACCCGCTGTACAGTATGCACCTCTTAATTTCAGAGAATAGGGCTTGGTACCCACTAAACAGTATACACCTCTTAATTTCAGGGAATAGGGCTTGGTACCCACTAAACAGTATACAACTCTTAATTCAAAGAATAGGACTTGGTACCCACTAAACAGTATGAACCTCTTAATTCGGAGAATAGGGCTCGGTACCCACTAAACAACATGCACCTCTCAATTCGGAGAATAGGGCTTGGTACCCACTAAACAATATACACCTCTTAATTTCAGGGAATAGGGCTTGGTACCCGCTCAACAGTATGATCCTCTTAATTCGGAGAAGAGGGCTCGGTACCCACTAAACAGTATGCCCCTCTTAATTTCAGAGAATAGGGATTGGTACCCACTAAACAGTATACAAATCTTAATTCAAAGAATAGGACTTGGTACCCACTAAACGGTATGAACCTCTTAATTCGGAGAATAGGGCTCGGTACCCACTAAACAGTATGCCCCTCTTAATTTCAGAGAATAGGGATTGGTACCCACTAAACAGTATACACTTCTTAATTTCAGGGAATAGGGCTTGGTACCAACTAAACAGTATACAACTCTTAATTCAAAGAACAGGTCTTGGTACCCGCTAAACAGTATTCTCCTCTTAATTTCAGAGAATAGAGCTTGGTACCCACTAAACAGTACCCACCTCTTAATTTCAGAGAATATGGCTTGGTACCCACTAAACAGTATACACCTCTTAATTTCAGAGAAAAAGGCTTGGTACCCGCTAAACAGTATGCACCACTTAATTCGGAGAATAGGACTTGGTACCCGCTAAACAGTATGCTCCTCTTAATTTCAGAGAATAGGGCTTGGTACCCGCTGTACAGTATGCACCTCTTAATTTCAGAGAATAGGGCTTGGTGCCCGCTGTACAGTATGCACCTCTTAATTTCAGACAATAGGGCTTGGTACCCGCTGTACAGTATGCACCTCTTAATTTCAGAGAATAGGGCTTGGTAACCGATCTGTAGTATGCACCTCTTAATTTCAGAGAATAGGGCTCGGTACCCACTAAACAGTATGCACCTCTTAATTTCAGGGAATAGGGCTTGGTAACCGCTCTGTAGTATGCACCTCTTAATTTCAGAGAATAGGGCTTGGTTCCCGCTGTACAGTATGCACCTCTTAATTTCAGGGAATAGGGCTTGGTACCCGCTATGTAGTATGCACCTCTTAATTTCAGAGAATAGGGATTGGTACCCACTAAACAGTATGCACCTCTTAATTTCAGAGAATAGGGCTTGGTACACGCTATGTAGTATGCACCTCTTAATTTCAGACAATAGGGCTTGGTACCCGCTGTACAGTATGCACCTCTTAATTTCAGACAATAGGGCTTGGTACCCGCTATGTAGTATGCTCCTCTTAATTTAAGAGAATAGGGCTTGGTACCCACTAAACAGTATGCTCCTCTTAATTTCAGAGAATAGAGCTTGGTACCCACTAAACAGTATGCTCCTCTTAATTTCAGAGAATAGAGCTTGGTACCCACTAAACAGTATGCTCCTCTTAATTTCAGAGAATAGAGCTTGGTACCCACTAAACAGTATGCTCCTCTTAATTTCAGAGAATAGAGCTTGGTACCCACTAAACAGTATGCTCCTCTTAATTTCAGAGAATAGAGCTTGGTACCCACTAAACAGTATGCTCCTCTTAATTTCAGAGAATAGAGCTTGGTACCCACTAAACAGTATGCTCCTCTTAATTTCAGAGAATAGGGCTTGGTACCCACTAAACAGTATGCTCCTCTTAATTTCAGAGAATAGGGCTTGGTACCCACTAAACAGTATGCACCTCTTAATTTCAGAGAATAGAGCTTGGTACCCACTAAACAGTATGCACCTCTTAATTTCAGAGAATAGAGCTTGGTACCCACTAAACAGTATGCACCTTTTAATTTCAGAGAATAGGGCTTGGTACCCACTAAACAGTATGTTCCTCTTAATTTAAGAGAATAGGGCTTGGTACCCGCTAAACAGTATGCACCTCTTAATTTCAGAGAATAGGGCTTGGTACCCGCTATGTAGTAAGCACTTCTGGCGGGAAAGTTTGTTCGTTACCATCTTTACTAGGATATTCAGACTTCAGGTTTATTATAAACTTCTCACCTATAGAGAATCGGGCTTGGTGCATAGAGAATCGGGCTTGATGCATTCCGTACATTATACACCTCTTACCTATACAGAATCGGGCTTGATGCATTCCGTACATTATACACCTATTACCTATAGAGAATCGGGCTTGGTGCATTCCGTACATTATACACCTCTTACCTATTGAGAATCGGGCTTGATGCATTCCGTACATTTTACACCTCTTACCTATAGAGAATCAGGCTTGGTGCACTCCGTACATTATACACCTCTTACCTATAGAGAATCGGGCTTGGTGCACTCCGTACATTCTTCACCTCTTACCTATAGAAAATCGTGCTTGGTAGCCACTGTACTGGTACAGTGAGTTAGATAGCAGGTTTATGTACAGCTGGCCGGTAAAGCTAGTCACTGGTGGAGGTACCAGATTCCCTGTGAACCCCAAGGTACCATTGGGATGGAGAGGCACTCCTGTATCATTCAGTCCTGCGAACACCTGACAATGATACATGAGTCTTACTTATATATTAACTACGGATTTATTATTCACTTTTAATTATCCATACGCCTTAACGTGCAGAACTATCCCCTATTGTATTCACATATAATCTCAAATAACAAAAAGTGTTTCATTTTTATACCTCAGTCATTCATTTCTACCTGCAAAAAGTCATATCCATCCTCCAAATGAAAGTTCTTGTCAAACAACAGAGTAAGCTGCCTGTGCTGTGTGGCCGATATGGACCAGGAACAGTTTTGGTAGGCGGGATATCTGAGCACACCGTACCCTGGGGAGAATACCAAACCTTTGTCCTCATCCATCACCACGTCACAGCCTAGGGGGATACACTACTGTCAGGTATACGTTTGTAAATGGTGAACTATATATTATTGAAGCATTGGCATTACCCAGTAAAGGGAAACAAAACCTTTTATTTGGGGTCGAACTGAACTCATAAGTATCATTCTAGTCCTGAATGTCATGAAAAAAAAAAGTTTTAGAATAAGCTAGATTGTAAATTGACAGCCAAGCGTACTATTGCTTAGGGTGTAACGTCATCTTTATTAACGTTCATCATTATCTATGTAACTATTCCCATATGTTTACTGCCTACTGTGTAACTATTTAAATATGTTTATTGCCTACTTTGTAACTATTTAATATATGTTTATTGCCTACTTTGTAACTATTTATATATGTTTATTACCTGCTTTGTAACTGAATCTAAATCCCCGATGGTTGTGTCTCGGATAGGACGCCTTCACTTTCATCATTATATGTAGTGTACCGACAGATATCACTGTCCGTGGCCCTCCAGTGTGGGAGAATACCGCCATCACCTCACCTTGTACGTTGTTATTTCTCACAATGATGTAGTCTCTCTCATCCAATTCAATGTCCAAAACCTGTCACAGGTAGATAGAGAGAGATATATCGCTGTATACTTAAGCATTGAACTGTTTTTGTATGATATTTATGATCTATTTGAATGACACAGCTTTGCAAGTAAACAACATAATGCGCGCTAGCCGGCATTGGTGATTTCAAACGATGTGTATTTTGTACGATATCGCAGACCTTGGTCTTGTTTTCGTTGTAAAAAAGTGTATTTTATCTTATTTTTTATTTTACAAATAAATTGATAATGACTTTATCAAATCTCACAATGCCCAGCGATATTTCAGCAGCCGGCATGGTTATTTACATTGGATATTGTAGTTCCGGTCAGTGTTGTAATTCATACGCTAAGAATTGTGTCCCGTGCGGCATGGTAATTATGTCTCGTGCGGCATGGTAATCAAAGTCCATCAACGACACAGCTTTCAAAGAGGCTATATAGTGACAATGCCATGCGAATGTAAATATATTAACATAAATCTTAAATCATATCTTGAGTTGTAACCAACAATAAATTTGAATTCTAGACGATGAAAAGTAAAACAAACAAAAATCAAAAAATCACTTGAAATACGAAGATAAGAATTGTCTAATGAAAAATGAATAATGTGTTTGCAGAAAGCCAAGTACACATTTACTGCACCATATGGTCATTTCCTTTAGCCACAGACTAGGTAAACAAGAACGGTAAGCCAAAGGATAATTAATACCCATGCCCCTATATAACCCGCAACTGTAAGCAAAAGTCTAACCAAGGCAAAGCATTGAAGAGCAATATAGTCTCCCACCAGTAATGTTTTCTTTATTGTACAGGTCAATCACATACTCTCTGTAATCCCTCTCAATGCCAAAACTTGCTTGCGAACCAAATTTTTAAAGTTTTGCTGAAATCGTCCAAGTAGCCCAGGAAGAGATGTCAGGGCAAAGAGTTTTAAGAAAGGGACGTTACTCCTTAAAAAGTGTCGAAATGAAAAATATCGACTCTGATGCACGACATCAGGGGGTAATTACCATATCTGTAAACTTTCATTGAGATTGGCCAAGTAGTTTGGGAGGCAGACAAAGATTTTTTCACCAAAGTGCTAGTTAATCGATCCATAACTTTAGAAGGAGTTTTCCGGACAAAAAGTTTCAGGATTTTTTCAACAAAGGGCTATAACTTCGTACAAAAGGGTCAGAATGTAAAAAAAATACCAGTATACTCCCTAACTTCGTCGCGGGGGTATAACGTTGAAATTGATCCATTACTTTAGAAGGAGTTGCCCGGACAAACTCTTTCTACGGACGGACGGACGGACAGACAGACAGACAGACAGACAGACATGCTGATTCTAGTATACCCCCCTTACTTCATTGCGGGGGGTATAAAATTGGTCATTAATCACTAGAAGTATGGGAAAATGTAGCACTTATTTAAAACCTTGTTTATAGATGCAGAAAGACAAACAAAGTATATCACTGCTCCGCGTGACCATTTCTCCCATTTAGTACTCCTCAGTGGTACGTAATATCAAAAGGAGGAAAACTCTAAGTCGAAAGTGTTCCGAATAATATATAGAATACAGCGAAAACTGAAAAGGTGTCTATAAAGTCTTTTATAACGTTACTTTACAATGATTGTCTTTAAAAGAAAGTGGAGACTTAAAGTAGTATCTCCTGTTAACAGTGCCAAACTAAATATCTATTAATGATATATCTGATTATCTTGAAAGCTTGTCTAAATTATTTGCTGACGATACGTCTTTATTATGGGCTGATACATCTCCCCAGATTATCGAAACTAAGATAAATAATGATTTGGAAAAAATCAAAATTGGGCTGAAATTTGGCTGGTTAAATTCAACCCTGCAAAAACGAATGCTTAACTGACCTCTAACTTTGAACTTGAGTATTTTATCGATTTAATATTTAATAACATTAGGGTTGATTTTGTTGACAATCATAGACACCTTGGAGTAGTTTTGGATGAAAATTATAAGTGGAGTACCCATATTGAAAATATTTGTACAACGGTATCGAAACAGTTAAGCGTAAACTGAAATTTATTTTTGAGTAGAAGAACTTTAAGTAAAATTTACATATGGTACATTCTTCCTCTTTTAGAATACTGTTGTGAGGCATGGGATGGGTGCACTCTCCGTGACGCAGACAAATTACCATCTTACTCAAGTAGAGAATCCTTGTATTTTGAAACTGGTCTAGAAACGTTATCTGAGCGTAGAACTCGGCGGAAATTACAACTGTTTTACAAAACCCATAAGAATCTTACACCTAACTATCTTACCTCTTTACTTCCCCCTACAATTTCGGAAAACACACATTATAACCTCCGGAATGCTGAAAATTACTGTATACCTAATTCACGACTTCAATTAACAAATTTGTCTTTTTCCCCCCCTCCACAATCCGACTATGGAACCAGTTAGACCGTAAGACACAGCGTTTCATATACAGCTTTTAAAGATACTCTTCACAGGCTTAATACATCAGAAGTCCCTATATATTATCTCCTTGGTGATAGAAAAAGTAATATTTTACACACCAGATTGATAAATAACTTTAGTACCTTAAACGATCACTTATTTCATGCTAATTTAATAGATTTTCAGCACTGTCAATGTGGACATCCTATCGAAGATACTTATCACTTCTTTTTTACTTGCAATAATTATGCGGATCAGAGAATTTAACTCTACCGTGAATTAGATGATTTCATTCCACTTAACTTGCAGCTACTACTATACGGTAATAGTGAATTGTCATATCATGAAAACAACCTAATAGCCAAACAGACGCAGCAAGTACAGCCAATGTAAATATATATGTCATATGCCATCTTGATAATTTGTAGTAATATATTGTAGGGAAAGGGCTTAATATAAGTTGTAAAACTTGTGCCCAACTCCCATTGTATATAAATTACAATAAAATATGTTTAAAACAAAAAACTAAACCCCTGTTTCAAGAATACAGCTACCCCGGGTGCTGTAATGTAATCACTTAAGGTGAGAACAACTGACGCACCTCTTGGAAATTATTTTGAAATTATAAAGCAAATACATTTTTGTAATATGAACCTTTATGGCTCTCGAATGTTTTTATAAAAACTACTCTTCTGTTCTTCGGTTTTGCCTAGGATCTTCAAATTTTAGAACATAGATACGGTTTTGGATGAGTTGAATTTTTATTTTGTTATATACGATGAATACATTTCTTTATTCCTGTGTCAATCAACAGTAAAAGAACAAGTTTTCCTAATGTTCAACTACAAAACGTTTTACATTCAACGATTTCTAGGTATATTTTTAAAACATGCACGTTCAGTAATTATTCCAATACTGTCAGATTCGTTTCCAGATTTAATATTTAAATCAGATTCTTAGCTTTGACCTGTTTGTAATATGGAGAATGACAACTTGTCTGGCATGTAGTGGTGATATTTTACCTGGAGAATGACAACTTGTCTGGCATGTAGTGGTGATATTTTACCTGGAGAATAACAACTTGTCTGACATGTAGTGGTGATATTTTACCTGGAGAATGACAACTTGTCTGGCATGTAGTGGTGATATTTTACCTGGAGAATGACAACTTGTCTGGCATGTAGTGGTGATATTTTACCTGGAGAATGACAACTTGTCTGACATGAAGTGGTGATATTTTACCTGGAGAAGGACAACTTGTCTGACATGAAGTGGTGATATTTTACCTGGAAAATGACAACTTGTCTGACATAAAGTGGTGAAATTTTACCTGGAGAATGACAACTTGTCTGACATAAAGTGGCGATATTTTACCTGGAGAAGGACAACTTGTCTGGCATAAAGTGGCGAAATGATCCATTCCAAATTTTGACTGACGTAAAAGGATGGATAAAAGGGTGATGTCACTTCCTGTAATGATGAGTTAGCCTCCAGGTGGAGCCCTGTGACGGGAACACTGTGGGTCACTGCAATGTTAGAATATATAGACCTACATGATTATGTACCTGGCAATTCAATTAATCTTTAAACAAACTGTTGTTCAAACAAACCTACATGTTGCTCCTTTTACATTGCAGAATAATTTAACCCGATTCATTTACAGCAGCGAATCGACTTATCTTGTTCCTGTAGACGGCGTTGTCGGTTTTCTATGATTCCATTCACTTTAACTGTAACTCATTAACCAGTTAATTAGGTTGACTGTTAAGTTTACAAGGAACTGTTAACCTAACCTGTTTCCCAGTAACACTTTAACCTTACATGCTTCTTAGTAGACTGTTTAACTTACATGCTACCAAGTATACGGTCAGCATTGCCCGTTTGTCAACTTACCTGTTACCTAACAGAGTGTTTACCTTGTCTCTTTTCTTGTAGACTGTTAACCTTATCTTTGTAACAACATAGATAAAGAAACAATGTCAAGCCCAATATTCCAATCCCGTGCAAGACCTCCAAACTCAAGATGGTTTAGAAACCAACTGTATACCTGATCATCAGAAATCAATCAACTCCAGTACGGCTACGCCCGTTTCCCAGGGCCTGTTTACATTTTCTGTTTCTCTAATACGATGGCCGAAGTCGGCCAGGCACATTTGAAGCATTTATATTTCGTTTGTGTACCGCGTTACACTTTTGTTGTCACGAGTACCAAATGAGTATAGTTTAAATGGACTTTTCGTAGTTTGTTATATGTTTCATTGCGATGAATATTTTAACAAAACAGTTGGGTCTAACTGGTTACCATACTCATTGCAAAATTAAATCCATGGATTGCGTTGACAATATGTATTGTTTGCCAAGTTAAGATATGCAGCCAAGTTAAGATATAACGTCCACTTTTCCTTAACATAACTTTTATTTGTCACCATTTTCTATAGCTCACTTCTTTTTCAGCTTTTTTTACTCCTGTATATTATTGAACTTAAACATGGCCCCTCGAGAATAGGAGGAGAAGCGGTAAGGTTCATGTAATTACAAAACAAAACAAGTACCGGAACATGTAACAAATGTAAACGACAAATGTATATCAATTAAGTCTCGTTATACATATAATTCGCATAAAAAGACACTTCTTAGCTTAACAAACATCCTCTTTTCCTTTTTTAATAAACAAGACGTTTCCTGTGTGAGCCCTCAACTGAAGAGTTAACACAGACCTCGATATTCCACATCATCAACCCGTTATGTTTCAATCGGAAAATTAATAGCTCAGGGTCAGTTTCGGTCATTTGCGATCAGTGACCGAGCATATACCACTATATGCGAAGTATAAATGCTTCGTTTGTGTACCACATACAAGTGTACCGTGATACATAAGTAATATGTCACTACCAGTAATAAGTCATGTGTGAAGTTTCGATGATTAATAGGGAACATACCCTGTCATCCTCATTAGACAACATACCCTGTCATCCCCATTAAACAACATACCCTGTCATCCCCATTAGACAACATACCCTGTCATCCCCATTTGACAACATGCCCTGTCATCCCCATTAGACAACATACCTGTCATCCCCATTAGACAACATACCCTGTCATCCCCATTAGACAACATACCCTGTCATCCCCATTAGACAACATACCCTGTCATCCCCATTAGACAACATACCCTGTCATCCCCATTAGACAACATACCCTGTCATCCCCATTAGACAACATACCCTGTCATCCCCATTAGACAACATACCCTGTCATCCCCATTAGACAACATACCCTGTCATCCCCATTAGACAACATACCCTGTCATCCCCATTAGACAACATACCCTGTCATCCCCATTAGACAACATACCCTGTCATCCCCATTAGACAACATACCCTGTCATCCCCATTAGACAACATACCCTGTCATCCCCATTAGACAACATACCCTGTCATCCCCATTAGACAACATACCCTGTCATCCCCATTAGACAACATACCCTGTCATCCCCATTAGACAACATACCCTGTCATCCCCATTAGACAACATACCCTGTCATCCCCATTAGACAACATACCCTGTCATCCCCATTAGACAACATACCCTGTCATCCCCATTAGACAACATACCCTGTCATCCCCATTAGACAACATACCCTGTCATCCCCATTAGACAACATACCCTGTCATCCCCATTAGACAACATACCCTGTCATCCCCATTAGACAACATACCCTGTCATCCCCATTAGACAACATACCCTGTCATCCCCATTAGACAACATACCCTGTCATCCCCATTAGACAACATACCCTGTCATCCCCATTAGACAACATACCCTGTCATCCCCATTAGACAACATACCCTGTCATCCCCATTAGACAACATACCCTGTCATCCCCATTAGACAACATACCCTGTCATCCCCATTAGACAACATACCCTGTCATCCCCATTAGACAACATACCCTGTCATCCCCATTAGACAACATACCCTGTCATCCCCATTAGACAACATACCCTGTCATCCCCATTAGACAACATACCCTGTCATCCCCATTAGACAACATACCCTGTCATCCCCATTAGACAACATACCCTGTCATCCCCATTAGACAACATACCCTGTCATCCCCATTAGACAACATACCCTGTCATCCCCATTAGACAACATACCCTGTCATCCCCATTAGACAACATACCCTGTCATCCCCATTAGACAACATACCCTGTCATCCCCATTAGACAACATACCCTGTCATCCCCATTAGACAACATACCCTGTCATCCCCATTAGACAACATACCCTGTCATCCCCATTAGACAACATACCCTGTCATCCCCATTAGACAAACCTCTTACCTGCTTCACAGTTGACACGTTTTAGTCTGTCCTGATTCACATTAAATAGTTCAAACACTATTACCTACTTTCAACTGGACTATTAATAATACCTTAGTTCTCTCTGGAGTCTTAACCTTAAATATTCCCTGAGGACTGTTTATCATCGAAGTTTTTCAAGCAGCTGTTTCCATGTGGGTTGTTCAGTTTTTTTATTTTCCAGTTATCCCTATTATTCCCCAGTAGATTGTTAACGCTACCTGTTTCCCAGTGACCTGTAAATCCCTGGAACGTGTTGGAGTGGTCGGAGGTGAACTTGATGATGAGGAGATTATTGGGACTGACCACCTGGACATCAGTTAAATGTCCGGAATATCTGCCACCATAGTCAGACATAGACGCAGTTCTTCCGCCAACAAGAACGATCACTTCGTCAAAGTTAAGTTCTGTTTCAAAACTTGAGAACTGTAAAAATTATAAATGAACATTTTGTTCCATTCGTTACAAGGCAACAGACAATTATGTAATTTAATAAATATTTTTGAAAATAAATGAACAAAGCTGTTTTTTAATAAATGATTAAATATAAACATATTTCTTTGAAAAACAAAATTATCAAGACCGTGTTAATAATTTTGACATCACAGCAACACTCCTTACTTGCACTTTGACATTGCTACCAGGCAGTCCTTCAATGAGCCATGAACACTCCGTACTATTAGAGTACAGGTTGGGATATCCAGGGGAGGCAATCTGACCCGTATCGCTGATCAAGTGAAAACGACACCGTGCAGCTGTTATGCAAAATAGCAAAACAGTTCAAGAAATGCAAAACAATATTAAAGTTATTTTCGAGGAATGACCACTCATTCTAAAAATAGCATTTGCAAGTATATAATAAACAAATTAACCACTATTTAGAAAGAAACATATCATATCTGATTCCACTGGAATAATGTGAAACTATTCATAAATATAAACTGTTAATAAACGTGCATTTAAACCACTTAATAGCCCAAAAGTCTGACTTCTGCTGGACACCCCCAACAGTCAGGCTATCGCTGGGAACGCCCTTTTATGCTTTCCTCCTTTGTACGAGGGCTTAATATTAATTAAGCCCTCGTACAAAGGAGCAGAGAATATAGGGCGTTTTGATACGCACTATATTACCTGAAGATATTAAGTGAAAGAAACGAAAATTATGTATGTCTAATTAACACAAATAATATAAATCACCTTACCACAATCAATCTCATCCGAATCGTCCCCACAATCATCTCTGCCATCACATCTCTTCTCATCAGTGATACAGATTCCGTTGTTACATCTGAAGCTACCTAGATATGAGATAGTGATTGGATAAGTGTGTGTCACACAGTACTGTCACATACAGGACTATACAGGACTGTCACATACAGGACTGTCACATACAGGACTATACAGGACTGTCACATACAGGACTACCACAAACAGGATTACCACAAACAGGATTGTCACAAATAGGATTGTCACAAACAGGATTGTCACATACAGGACTACCACAAACAGGATTGTCACAAAAAGGATTGTCACAAACAGGATTATCACATATAGGACTACCACAAACAGGATTGTCACAAACAGGATTGTCACATACAGGATTGTCACAAACAGGACTACCACAAACAGGATTGTCACAAACAGGATTGTCACAAACAGGA